ACGATAACCCAAGTGATGTATAACAGTGATTATCACACCCTTATCACATGATTATCACACCCAAATCACATGATGACACCAAAATTTTAACTTATCAACCAAAATGTTAACCCAAGTGATGTATAATGGTGATTATCACACCCCTATCACATAAGTATCACATGATTACACCAAAATTTTAACTTATTAACCAAAACGATAACTCAAGTGATGTATAATGGTGATTATCACACCCCTATCACATGATTATCACACTCATATCACATGATTATTACACCTAGTATAATCCTAACCTATTTCGTAACCGTTTTACTAGATAATGATAAGACTAATGATAATAATGAGTGTTTAAAAGATAATGATCGTGTTTAAAAGATTTGATGATATCATTTCCATTATTATCCTTTTAATTTTAAATTTTTTTGAATCTTTTTAAATTTCAATTTTAATTTTAAAAATCTTTTAATTTTATTTTTTATCACAATATGAGGTTATTGAGTTGTTCTTGCGTTCTCGTAAATCACAGGGGTTCTCGTTTGAACCCTTCCCTATATATGTATATATACATATACATATATAGAGGAGCGATCAATTACAAACCACCCTCATTTGTGAAAACCTTACAAACCAATCTCATCCATCAATTTTTTTATCAATGGTCAAGATTAAATGTGTTTATATTAGGAAATAAAAAATAAAATAGAAATAAAAGTTCAATTTTTAATTAAAAAAGGGCAAAATTGTTAAAATTTTAATTTGTATGATTTTGTAAACGAGGTAACAAGATCGTGAATATCCTAACATTAATGAAAAAAAATCATTGTTATAAAATCTGTATATATCATTTTATCATTTCAAAGATTTTAACCAAAAATGTTAGAATAATCTGACAAATTATATATTTGATAAAAAATATCTTCATTTTATGACTAAATATTGTAAATAAAATAACATCCACATTAAAAATAGATCCAATTAAGGAGCAATGAAACTAGATATATCCTAATAAATTATGAAACATAAAAACATACTTTAATCAACAAAAAATAACGAAACCTTTCGAATACTAAATGAAATATTTTGTTTCATTAAATGAATGAATGAAATTGTTTCACCGTTTATGTTATAAACTCACGTGACTCCTTGTCACCTATAATGAAAGATAGACCATTTGACATGTAGTAGTGAACGATGTATGAAACTATTTTCATTAACGATTATTGAAGTATGATTTGACTCTTAATAATTTCAAATCAAATTAATTTTAAAACAAGGGATATCATAATAGTAGTGAACGATATATGAAACTATTTCATTAAAATGAGATGTTTATTCTGCATTTGATTATGTTTATCTGCAGTAAACTACACGAAGTTCAGATATAGAGTTTTAACAAGTTGTACTTGCGCACAATCTACTTGTAATATTGAGTTTTAAGTAACATGAATTAATAAAAAGTACTTTGTGCATAAAAAATGATTTTTAAGAGTTTTTGTCAAATACTTTATAATATAGTATAGATGTATCTATATTACCTTATAAAACAGATTTGATAAAAAGTCTTAAAAACAACCTTAAATGCATAAGGTACTGCTTCTTTATACATAAAGTCTTAAAAGTCTTGATTACAATTCATTTGTGCATATGGTATGACTCAACAATATTTCACTTTTTACAACTCATACTTTTAAGTTTTATCTTTCCCATATTTAGTTTTGGTTCCCGATAAACATTGAAAATTTAAACCATCTATCCCTTTCAAATTTTGACCCTTTATGTTCCCAAGATTTTCATCTTACCATAAAAAACTATTTACCGTTTCAAATTTCAAATGTAAACCTCAGATTTTCATAATTCATGATTGATTTTTCCTAATCACCTCCATTGCCCCCAGCTACATTCTTCCTCGCCTCCGCTGTTCCTCGCCATTTTTATACTTGTATAAAAAGTCTTTCTTTGGCTTTCCATTTTACTACTAGAGTTTGAGCTAACTGCTTATTTTAAAAGTTGACATTTCGGAGCTCCGGATCTACATTTATAGTATTTGTATACATTAACAAACCCATTTGCTTTAAAGGGTTTCTTTGATTCAATATATTCAAGATGAGTTGTGATTCGGGTCGAGTATCTTGCTCCACCGCTCCAGTCCTTGGCAAATGCTTGTATCTTGTTCCACCGCTTCAGTCATTCGGGTTGTGATTAAGGGTTTATGAATAATTATAGAACATACTAACACCAATATTTTGGATGAATATATATTTAAATCTAAATTATATACAAATGTAGTAGACTTTGTTACATCTTTAACGAATTTGATATCTCAAAATTGAATAATCTTAATGAGTTTTTCACATCCCGTTACATTGCACGGATAAACAACTAATCAAGTTAAAACTCGAAAGTAAAAAACAATGTAGACCATATATAATCAGATTACCATACTTCTCTTCGAATCAAGGACTCTTAAATAAATGATCAGATTTTTTTTTCCTTATCTCCACAAGATAGATTTTTTAAATAATATTCTTTTTATTATTTTAAAGCATGAGGAAAAGGGACTTCTCTCGGGAGGCAAAGTTCTAGGGTTTCCAAGTTCACACATAATCGACTCCAAATCCAACCAACTAAACAAACCCTCTATCTTCCTGTAATCTTCGATTCGATCTGGAAGCATGCCTCAGAGACATTCAAAGAACAACAATGATCTAGCCTTCTTCACCTATGACGAGAAGAGGAAGCTTGGTTACGGTACTCAAAAGGAGAGGCTTGGTAAAGACTCGATCAAACCCTTCGATGCTTGCTCTCTCTGCTTGAAACCCTTCATTGATCCCTTGTGCTGTCAAAAAGGTCACGTCTTCTGTAAAGAATGCATTCTTGAATGCTTATTGTCCCAAAAGAAAGATATCCAAAGGTAATATACTTTACATAGCTTATATTCTGCAACTGTTTTTTACTGGCTTGGATCATCTTAGGTAGTTTAGGAGCATCAGTTAGAGGTTTGGAATGCGGATTGGAGTTGATTAAGTTTAGAGATTAGCTGATTACTCTCCAATTTTCATAGCATTGGATTAGGAATTCGCAAACCAAATTCACATCAAGTCTTATCTGTGATTTAAATTGATTTCAATATGTTGTATATGGTTAAGCCAATAGGGAAATTTCATTTATGGATAGTACCAGGTGAACTAGGATTGTGGTAGTCAAGGTGAAAGTGTTTAATGCAAATTGGCAGGTTTAACTAACATGCCGGGCTAGATAATTAGAAGGTTCAATGATGCCAATCAGGTTCGATTTGGATTTTACTAGACCACTGATTTTGATTGCATAGGAGTTCCTTGTATTCAGATAAGAACATGATTGCATGTGGAATAACCTTGACGTTGACAAGTGAAACTGAGATGCATCATTAGTATACATCATTAGAAATCACCTGGTAGCTGCTGATGAGCTTCATTTGATTTAAAATCAAAACATTTTCTTGACCAGCCTAGGATGTAGCACTACCACAGCTAGTTTGTCATGACCATGCCACCGCCTTTGCTTCACAAACACTCTTCACATTTTTTTGGTGATCTTGTGCATATAGTAGTACTTGTCATTGCAACTGCTGTTGAAGTACTCATCATTTCATTTGCTGTCCAAATACGATGAGTTAACGAATTTTGTTCTTGCTCCTTGGAAGATAATGGAATTCTATGCTTGATGGATGCTTATTAGTAATACACTGGAAGTGGAAGGTAGCCAAGTAGATCGTATGATGATAAATATTCATGAAAGAGATACATTTATGATCTGTTGATGAATATTCTTGAAAGTGGTACATTCATATGGTGATTTAAAATTATGTTGTACAAATTCATTTACCATTTTGTGTCAAACTGAAACCAACAGGTTGAAATTGACTTTTAGGTGTTTCCCTAATTTTTCTGGACTACAGTTCCATTAAAACCACTTCACTTTGAGGAACTCTACTTCAATGGGATGGTTGTTGGTAGTTTTTGTGGCTAATACAATATATATTGGCTTCATAACAGAGAAAACATGTCATGACATGCGTTTTTTATAGGTTGGGTTGCCATGGCATTGACCATGACAATGTATAGATGATAGGCATGCATCAATAAACTAATGAGCATGACATGGGTATTGTGCATGTTTGATGTTTTAGGAACGAGTCACAGACATTTGTGGCAATTAATGAGAAAAATCAAAATCCCCCCATGATGTGCAAGTGGGTTAGCTTCACGAGGCACTCCGTGGTACAAAGGTCCCCTAAGCACCTAGGAATGAGGCGAGATGCATGGCTCATCCAAGTGAGGAGCACCAGTTACGAAAGTTTAAATATTATTAAATCTAGTTTTATATAATCACAAGAAAGGTATTGGTAGTAAATTGAAAGAGGCAGCTGTGGTTTAGTTGAATTTCTTCATTTTGGCAAACAATTAGAAGATGATAATAATGAGGATGGATGAGGTTTCTGGCTTTGCTATAGAGGGTTATTTTCATAGGCTCTGATGGCATGTCGATGAACACTTGGATGAGCCATCATTGTATTTAAGAAATGAGAGAATTTAGAGAAATGTAATGTTCCTTTGACATTGAATGGACGAAGAACAAGTATCGAGGGACAAGAAAATACCCAAACTTTTGTTTACTGGTTTGCTTTTGGGAAAATATCTGATTTAAGATTGTTTTTGGGGTGGGAAAACTACTAAAGAAATTCATCAAAGGCTTTTCAAACTTTTGCCTATGATGGAAAAATGTGTGATTGGATAATGAGTCAGCAAGATACTTCTGATGAATTGATGGATGCTTGTCATTTGAGGCTATGTTATGCCATCAAGACTCAAGACTAGATGCTGATGTGGCAGATAAAGCTATGGCGAGCAAGGAAATGTCTGTGGTGGTGCATTGTTTGAGGACCGGAAGCATTTATTGTGAAAAATCTTTGTGGTGGGGATGGGCAATGTAGCTAACACCTAGTTCAACAAACCCAAAAGAACCCAACTCTATGCAAACCTCTTGGCAGGAAAACCCAGCAGAGCTTGATTTGTGTTGGTGCATAAATTAGGAAGGATAATCATGTGGCTGTTGTCTTAATCAGGAAAGTGATTCAGAAATTAGTGGTTTTCTAACCCTGATTGTGGAAGAATTTTTTAATACATGTACCACTCAGAATGGTATGGTGTACCATAAACCTCTCCATCAAGTGCACTAGTGTGTAGAAATATTGTGGACTCTATATTTTATGCGACATCGTAATGAGGAAGCAAATCATGCGGATTCAAGATCCAAAGTGGGCTAGTTATTCGAGCATTGAGAGGATGGTAGCACTACTACTTTGCTTCTATTGCTGGCCAAGATGGAAGCCAATGTGGAATTATATGTCAAATCATGTTCAATGTGACAAGTTAACATGAAAGAAAAGGAAAAGGAGGTGGGCTTGCTGCAATCTCCACCTGTTCCGAGAGGCCATGGTTAGTGAACTGATTTTCAGGGATGCTAGTTCATTATACCATCCATCACATGCTTGTTCTACAAATGCTCTTTTTTTTTTTCTCAAACAAGTAAAATAATACTTTGGGTTGCATGAGGATATCGAGAGTGATAGGGATGCAAGATCTATATTGGTTTCGGATGATATTGTTCGCTTTGGTGGGATTGGAGCTATAGTTTTCTACTGGTAGTCACCCTCAAATAATAAGTGTTCAATCAATTGTTGGAGCACCTTACAGGCTTGTGCTTTACATGACAGTGAGATAGAAAATTTGATGGCTAGAGTTGATGGATTTTTTTGTTACTTCCTGCATTGTCCTGAAGGGGAAATCTTGGTTCCTTCCAGTTTTCTTTGGGTTTCTAGCATGAGATTTCCAATGGCGTTGCTAGGGCAAGTCCTGCCAAGCTTCCAAGTCAGTTGAAAGTTGATGTAACATTTCATGTTAGCTATTTGAGTCTATATTAGTAGGATCTTATAATACAATCACAGCTCCTTCTCTAATCTGAAGGCAAGTTGACAAGAGAAGTTCTTGGCTCATTGGACCAAGGTCATGAGAAGAGAAATTGGTAGACTGGTTACTCGGTTCTTAGCTTGTGTTTGTTGCAGGACCTAAATCCTTTCCTTCTTTATATTGTGTGAGCTAATAAAAAGGTTGGATGCCGTCTGGCTCCAATACCTTTATGCGACTCATTTTCTTTAACCAAATTCTTGTGAGTTTGTGTCTATGTGGCTGACTGTGAGTTCTTAATTTGGCTTCTACAAAGTGCAATTGTGATTTAGGTTGGTTCTTCTGAATATCATCAACATGTTGCAAAAATCACTGATGAGCACAGGTCTAATTATAGATTGAACCCTTGCTAAAAATGGAGACATTGTATTTATTTTGGGTCGGATAGAGTTGTTTTGAAACATTGCTGGCAAATTTATAGTACAAAATGCTTGTAACTGTATGCGCATATATGTTAGTAGCTATGTGATTAACTTATTGATGGTTTCCTTCTTTGAAACTAGAGATGTACAAGGCCTGCGCCTTCCAAGCCTGTCTTTAGTAAACAAAAAAAGCCCCAACTTTTTTGTGAAAATGGGCCGGATCAGGCTTTTGAAAAAGCTCTTGCCCTGTCGGGCTTTAGGTCTTGGAATTTTTTGAGCCAGGCTTCGGGCCTTTTGTGCATTTGAAACGAAAGCTTGATTGTTAAAGAGTTGATGTTTATAAATTGGTCACAGGAAGCTATCTGCCCATACTGCTCAACTGAAGCAAGAAAAAGAGGAGGAATCAGAGAAGTTGATGCTACAGAAAGCTAGAGAACTTGATGCATTTGATCAGCAAAACCACGGTGCTGTACCACAATACAACGATAAAAACTTCAACAGGGACAGAAGTGGGTTTCACGGAGCAAACAGTGTTAAAACCACATCGTACGAAGCGGAAGCACTGAGAACAATGAAAGCATTTTGGCTGCCTTCTGCTACACCCGAAGCTCCGGTCAAAGTCAACGCACCATCCACCAGCACAACTTGCCCTGAAGGTAACGAAAAACTTAAAATGAAAACCCTTTTCTCTATTCACTTCACGGAAGACACAAATGACGAAAAGAAAGGTTCGGCCCTAGATAAAACCTACATATGCCCTAGCTGCAAGGTGACATTGACCAATACATTAGCACTTGTGGGTCTAAGTTCTTGTGGACATGTGTTCTGTAAGAAGTGTGCAGATAAGTTCATGGTGGTTGATAAGGTGTGTCTAGTGTGCAATAAGGCCTGCAAGGAGAGGAATCTTATCAACTTGGAAAAAGGCGGAACTGGATTCGCAGGCCATGGGGATAATCTCGAAGCCAAAGACTTTAAGCATCTAGGAAGTGGTTCGGGACTAGGGTTGGTGAGGCCCGCAATGAAGACATGATATCTGGTAGGTCTTATTGTGACTTGTTGCTAGTCGTCCCCATATAAACTTGTATTTTGTTTTCTTGTTTCCTGCATAAGAATCGGTTTGTTATATTTGTCAATCATATGCCCTCTTTCCTTTCAGATTTCATCTTTCATTGGAATGAATACTGCTTCAAACCCTTCATAGTTTATCAGATTTCAGGGGTGGGTTTCATCAATTCTTGTATCTGTAAAATTTATTTTGTGGATTAGTAGTATGTCTGAATGGATTGAAAAAGTTTTTGTTTGGAAAGGTTTTTCATAGATGAAAGTGGTCTTCTTTAATTGGAAGAGGCGGGTTTGAAAAAACTTGGCTTTTTACATAAAACTCCCCTTTGAAGTTTACCGAATAAGCCATTTTTTATGTGATTAAGCCAATACTAAAATAGTCACATATAGCTGAGTTAATAAATTGTTCCAAGTTAGAATGATTTTTTGTAAGGTTTTTAGTTTTCATCTTCCATTTTAAAAGTAAATTATATTATTGGTCTGTGGTTTGCATGTTATAACGTTTCAACTTAATAATGGCATCCTTATCCTTTACTAACGGCATTCTATCTCCTATATAATCATTTTCTTTTTGTTTGTATTTTATTGTCCTTTTTTTATACTAATTTTTTTAGTTATTTTATTTAATTATAATGATGTTATTATTACAAATATTATTTA